ATAATATTATTTATTATATTTTTCTAATTTAATAATTATTAAAATATTAATTATATTTTATAATAATTTTATTAAAAAAGTGAAATAAAATAACTAAAATAAAAATAATAATAATAAAAATAAAAATGGTATTCAAAATCATATTTAAATATTATATTATATTAAAATATTAATTTAATTAAATAATTATTAAAACTTAAATAAAAAATAAATTTAAAATTTGTTAATCGGAAAATCCGATAATATACGAGTCGGATATGGATATCCGATTAAGAATCTTTTTAAAATTTAGTTTTTTATTTAATTTTAATAATTATTTAATTTAATTTAATAATTTAATATAATTTAATATATTATAAAATATTAAATGTGATTTTACATATTATTTTTATTTTTATTATTATTTTTTTTATTATTATTATTTTTAATAATTTTAGTAAAAATATTATAAAAATATATATTATATTTTAATAAATATTAAAGTATAAAAATATAATAAATAATATTATAATTTTCAATTAAATTAAATATTTATTAAATTTTAAATAAAAAGAACTGTTAGCATATTTAAAATTTTTGTTTCTATTTAAAATTTAATAACTGTTTAATTTATTTTAATATTTTAATATACTTTAATATATATTAATATATCAAATCAAATTTTATATTATTATTATTATTATTTCATTTATTATTATTATTTTAATTATTTTATTTTTATTTTTTTAATATAACTATTATTATAATATAAATTATATTTTAATAATTATTAAAATATAAAATTATATTAGTAATATTTAAATTTTAAATTAAATTAGATTATTATTAAGGTAGTGTGGAGTGACTTTAATAAGAAAGAGAAAAAAATAAAAAAGTATTTATTAAAGTGCTTTTAATAAAAGAAAGAAGAAAATAAAAATATATTTATTAGAAAATAAAATTTTTAGAAAAATTGAAGGTGGAGATGTCAAAAGGTTAAAAATGAAATTTTTGAAAGTACAGGATGAGATGTTGGAGGTGCAGGATGAAACACTCTTTTTTGTTTTCAGCATGACAAATTTGGACTTGGGTTTGAGTATGACCCAACTTACTTTTTTTTTTCATGCACTCCCATAAAATTCTCTTTAAGCCCACATAAAAGAAAGTTCTGTTTTTTCAGAACTTATTTTCAGAAATAAAAAGTATTTTCCAACTGTGTAATTAAAAATAAAAAAATGTATTCTAAATTATATAATTTAAAAGACAAGTAATATCTAAATTGTACCATAAACATGTTTCATAAAATCTAGATTCTGGAAGAATCACATACATTAAATCACTTCTATTATTATATGCCATTATAGAAAAAATAAAACATATAGATGTTATGATAACAACAAGGTAAAAAATTTAAAGAAATAAAAATATTTCAAAAATACGTCTAAAGACACAATGTAATGTTAAAGAAAAAAATACAAATAAATATTTTTTTCAAGGAGTTAAATTTATTTTAATAATGTATTATGTATTTCATTTACAAATATAATATTAGAAACTTAAAATTTATTTAAGTTTTAGCATTATTGCATTTAATTAAGTGCTTAAAATAAAACAGAAAGGAAGACATTAAATTATAGTAAATACATTTGCAATACCAGAATTTATTCTAAACCTAATAATCAATAAAGAGATAGAGGCTTAATAATTATAGTGTTAAAAAAATTTCATGGAGGTGTAATTTGTTACATGAAAGGACTACCAACAGGAAAAGTAGTTCATACACTGCTATTAAAGTTTCCCTACCATTAAACATAATTAAACAAAAGAAACAACCTCACTATCCTATTAATAGGTTGAATGTGAGAAATCTTTTCTCAGTCTTCGCCTCCTTCTTTGTGGCAAGGCTGTTTCAGCAAAGGACAGTTGATTATTTCAAGACTAGAAATTGATTTGGGAAGACCCTCCTCTGGTAAGCATTGGAGGTTGGGACAGTTCCAAAGATACAGTCTTCCAAGATATGAGAGTTCTAAGAGACCCTTGTAGTTCAGTTTTTTTAGATTTCGACAATCAGATATTGTTAGAGAGAAAAGACAGAGTGGAAGCAAACCTTCATCTGGAAAACATTCTGCCTCTACTTTTTCAATCGTTAAACTTTCCAACGAAGAAGGACGGTCTTCTAAAACTCTTTTCAGTGAGCCAACAAGTCTAAAGCAATTCAGTGTGATGTGTTTTAGATTTAATGGCAAACCTTCATCAGAAAACGACACAAGTCTTGGACAATCTTCTATCTTTAGGTGTTCGAGAGACGGAAGCAGCATATGCATGTTTGCAGGCAATGATTCAAATTTAGGGCACTCTTTGATAATCATATAATAGAGATGATTGTGAACATGATTATGTGAAATCATCTGTAGATTAGGAAATCCACTGAGTAGGAGAACCCCGAGTGTTGGGAAGAAATCTAGTGGAAAGACCCTTAGACAGACACAATCATCACTTATTGACTCCAGAGGTGAACAAATGGACAACTCTTCAACTCTTACCGCTTCGAATTGTTCGCAGTGAATCAGTTTTAGAAATTTTAAAGCAACAAACTTTGGCAGGTGTCCTTTCAGCTTGGGACAATTTTCAATTGAAATATCTCGTAAACATGGAAAAGCACCTGTCACAGCTTGGCAGTCCCACTTTTCCCATTGCCACATATCGGAGAAATACAATGTTTGAAGGGATTTAAATGAAGAAGAGTTGTTCCCATGAAAATCAGCATCAATACTCACTATCTCATCAAACCCTGAAATCTCCAGGTAATTGAGAAATGGCAAAAGTCCAAGCGGAGGTAAACGTTGACAAGATTCACATCCCTCCAACTTTAAGGACACCAGATTCGGTAATGAATTATGAAGTAGCCAATCTGGAAATTGTTTACCAATATAGTTTCTTATTGACAACTTCTTCAAATGTTTTGTAGGACGTAGATTCTCAATTACATTCTCAGCCTTTTCTGAATCAACAAAGGAGCTGCCAATGAAATTCCATTCTAACCGTAGTTCCGTAAGATGTGGTTTGTTCTTCAAATCTACTTCCAATGCAAAGGAGGGATTCTCAATATTCTGCAGTTCATCAATTGTTAGACTTCCATGAAGATCGAGTTCTCCTAATTGCTGAAAATTGATTTCCTTACTTTTCTCAACATGAAACGAACTCATCGATACTTGAACATTCTTCAACTTTCCCAAATGTGCTATCACATTTTTCACTCCAACATGTACTAATTCAAGACGACGCAAATTGTGGAGTTGATGTAAACATGAGGGAAGCTCCTTTAGTTTTCGACAATAGTTCAGCTGCAGTATTTGCAACTTGTAGAGTAAACTTATTGAGTCGGGCAGTTTCTCTATTTGAGTCAAGGATAGATCTAATGAACGAAGATGCTTAAGATTCCCTATAGATTTAGGCACCTCGGTAAGGCTACGACAATTATACAAAGATAACACACGTATTAACTTAAATCTCGAGAACAAATCGTCTATGGACATCTTGCAATCCCAACCCCAAATCCGTTTTGTTGTCGTAAATGTATGCAACTTTTGAGTATTAATCGAACTCCCAAACCCATCAAAACCTAATTTAGAGTATGAAAATAAACAATGGCGGGTTGTTTTGGGTATACCTTTTGGTTCATCAACACCTAACCTGATACATATGTCTTCACAGACGTATTTTGCCAAATCATTTATAAGGTCATGCATGATAAAACACTTCTCCTTTTCGTTGCTTGACTGTTGAAAGAATGACCAAGATAATAGATCATTGCAATATTCTTCTCCAACTTCTTTAGGACTCTTTTTCTGTAGAGGGTTTTCTAGGAAATTTTCAGCCAACCACAATTGAATTAACCACTCCTTCTCAAACCAATAACCTTTGGGAAATAAGGCACAAAAAGCAAAGCATTTCTTCAGATGAGAAGGAAGGTGGAAATAGCTCAGTCTTAAAGCAGGGAGTATATCACTTTCATTTTCTAAAAAATCCCATATCTCACTCTTCATAATACTTTCCCACTCCCAAAGGGATGATTTATTGTGTAATAGACTTCCCATAGTTTTTAAGGCTAAAGGAAGTCCATTACATTTTTCAACTATCTTCTTACCAATCTCTATGAAGTCTGAGTCTGGTTGGGGATTAGCATTTTGGAATGCATGCTTTGCGAACAAGTCCCAACAATAATCTTTTTTTAATACCTGCAGGAGGCGCTTTTCTGATCGCATGGTAACAGCAACCTTCTCACTCCGTGTAGTGACAAGAATTCTACTGCCTTGGCCTCCGAAAACAAGGGGCTTCTGCACATCTTCCCATTTAGATGGTCGTTCGTTCCAAACATCATCCAAAACGAGAAGAAATTTCTTTCGCATAAGTTCTTCTTTCAGTTTTTTCTGAATTACTTCCTGCTGTATACTATGATCAGTGGAACCAGTTATTGTGTCAAGAATTGCTCTTGATACTTTGAGAACATCAAATTCATGTGGAACACTGACCCAAACTTTAGTATCAAAGTTAGCTTCTTCAAGCCTTGGGTCGTTGAATACATGTTGGGCAAGAGAGGTCTTACCCATCCCACCCATGCCCACAATAGAAAGTATAGATAGGTTGTTGTGAGTGTCCGATGTGAGCCAGTTAAGGACAAATTCTTTGTCATCATCTCTGCCATAGATAACACTTTCATTTGGCAAAGATGTATGTGCTAATTTACTACCCTATACTGATCCAACCCCAACCACCAGCACCCTTTTCCAAACCTAGAATTTTTTGCTTTCGTTTGCAGAAATTTTTCTAGTTCCTCAATGATTGTTCCCTCATGATTCAATTTCAATTTTCAAAGAAATTGACAACAGCAGAATTTGAGTGATTCCACAACCTTTTAGTAGCACTCTGAGACTCCAGCTTCCTCTTGGCTTTTGGGAGTTCATATCTTATTTTCCATCCAATAGATCCTCTGCATCAAACACAGCCTCTTTGGGCCCTGAGAAGCCACTTTCTGACTTTGGATTCTGTACAAACCTTGCCTTTGTTCTGCATCAAAGCCACAACATCAATGGCAATGAGCTTCAATCTCACTGGCTGAGTTGCTTCTTACGGTTTTTCTTGCACGAAATATGTGGGCAAAACGTGAATCCAAAGTGTCAATAGTCCTCTCGAGGAAAAGTCAGAAACAGAAGCACCGGTAACCATTTCCTGCTGCATGAATAAACGTTGAAGATTTGAATTGAACTTATGTTTGTGAATGGTGCAGTGCAATGGAAATAATATTAATAAGATAATTTTTGAATGATGGCCTCGAATTAAGGTTGGTGAACTTTTTCGTCAACAAGCAAAAAATGAGTGGTTGTGATAAGAGTGATGGTTCACAACTTTATCTATATTTTCTAAGAATTGTCAACTTAGAAAATGAATCACATTCCATTCTCCAGGTCTTCGAGTGAATAGAAACAAGAAAAACATACATAAAGAAGAGGTATAATTGATGATAACTGATAATAATGAGATAATAATAATGATGATAAAAGCTAAGAAATGAGACAGAAAAGATTAAAAGAAAGAGAGAGAGCTACAGAGAGAGATAAAGGATGTAATCAGAAAAAGTAAAGAAATTAAAAATGAAATAAAAATGGGATAAAAAGTTTAAGGGCATATTAGTCCCTCCCTTTTTTGTTTTTCTTATTTTTTATTATTTGTTTGACCTTTTTTTTTAATAAGAAAATATAAACTATTTAGACCATTCTATATAATTAAGCAAATATTAACTTAATTTATTACAAATTTTCTAAAAACTACTTTAAAAAGCACGCCGAGTTTTGGATAATGATTTATCAAGTGGTTGTTTGGTGAAATTACCGCAGTTATGGAAACAGTACTTTTGTTTAGATACACTTCTCTATAATAAATAATTTTTTTCTATTTAAAATTAGTTTACGCATAAATTAATTTATAATTATTTCTACATAACTATCAGGTAACTTAATGTTTTCTCAATTTTTTCGGTACGTCCTCATGTATCCCATGTGTGACATCCCAAAAATACAGTAATAAATCATATAATTAGAAAATCACAGTTAATAATAAAAACAGTACAGTTTTCCAACTAAAAATAAAACCGAACGAACGCGCAAAGTCGCACGTCCTCACAAGAATTCCCAAATAAACAACCTAATGTACGATTAAACCCTTACCGA